ATAAAGTTCGCGACCGCTGACTCGGCAAAGACATCCTTGCTGCTGTCCAATGCACTCATCAACTACGAGGCCATTACTGTGGCCCGCTGTTCCCTGAGACAAACCCTGAGACGCCGCCCAACGAGGCCGTAGCTCGCAGCACCGAGCCGGCCCCCGCCCAGCCATCTTCGACGGGCAAGCCCGCTCTCTACATTGTCCATGAGCTCCTGGCCGCTGGCTATGTTCTGGGCGAGCAAGTCATCGCGCGTGCGTCAGTGTTTGATGCTAAGCACAGGATCACCGAGCGCTCGCAGCAGCAGGCCAGGTCGCTTGACTCGCAGTACAAGCTGACCGACTACTTGCAGCAGTGGGACAACAAGTTCAATCTGACCAAGCGTGCAACCGACGCATACAACAAGCTGCAGAGCCATCCGACCGGCCAGAGGGTGCTGTTTACCGTCAAAGACGCATATGACTCGGCCTGGACTTGCGCAACCAGGCGAGGGAGATTGCGGAGCGGAAGCGCGCTGATGGGTCGCCGCTGTTTGGGAAGATTCCCATTCCGCCGGCGCCGGCTGCAGGCCCATCCAACACCAGCCCAGCTGCCGGTGGTCTGGCTGCAGGTCCTGTTAACCCTCCGCCTCCTGCTACCCCAGCGAGAAGGAGGGCACGCGCCGCCAGCAACGCTGCATCGCTTGACTGAATACCGTTCGCTCTTCATTCTTTACATGAATATATACAAAGTATGGCACTGTAATCCACCTGGTGGTAAGATGATGTGTCTGCTTTCTATTTGCATATATATCGACTTGGTTGACGTGCGGACATGCCACGGAATCTCTGGAACTAGCTCGCACCGCACCCGCTCTACCATAGCGCCTCAATAACCGTGTGTACTGACATGTGCTTGACAGTTGGAGCTAGAGATGCAACAATAAGAAGGCGCTCTACAAGCTGCTACCTGGTGTATCGCTTTGCTCTCATTACGTGAAGGCTGTGTAAGTGCGACGATGGCGTGCTCTTGAACGCGCCATACGCCTGCTCGATAGTTCTTGGTACCATGTGTTCCCTGCTTTCTGTGCTGTCACAAAGAAAAATGGCATAAGCCGCCGGATTGTAGGCATGTGGTGTATCATCCGTAGAACCTCTCTTGGCGATATCCACATACTGGAATTGTTCAAGCGAGGTATGAAGCTGGCTGTAGTGGAAGTCGCCATTCAATCCTAATACAAGCGATTTACAGTGCTGTGATATGTATAGCGCCGTCTGGAGCTGCTGCCACGCATCGTATCACTCTGCTGTCGATGAAAACTTATATCCTGTGGCCAAAACATCGGAATATGCACGTAGTCCAGACTAATACAAGGCTCGGTCTGAATCGGCGAATTCTTTAGAGCATCTGCAGCCATATAGTCCACCGATAGCACAAGACTCTCCAGAGTCATTCTGTTTCCACGAAACAGTACATCATTGCTGAAAGGGTAGAATGGGTTACATACTAGTTTTCTCAGTCTGGGAAAGGGGTCACCAGCTGGTGCATATCTGGAATAGTTAGCGAAATTGGAGGACACTACAACATGCAGCTCTAGGTGCTGTACGTCTGGGTATACATGAGGAATGGCTGCATCCTTGTCCCAGACCAGCAACGAGCACAGGTCGTGTGAGATTTGACGTAAACAGATTGACCTTAGCGTCTGGGCTTTCCGTTGCACGAGCTCGACATGGAGCATATCGAACATATCGCCTCCAAGTGAAATGCTGCAAAGGCCGATACATGTCGTATTTTACGTCATTGTGCCAATGCCGGATGTCCACCCAAAGCGCGAGCTCATCCTGTCTGTCGGGAACTGCGTAGGAGAAGATCTCCATGACGCGCTTACAGAATAGTAGAGCCCCCTTGGACCCATACGGGGTAAGGTGGCTGCATCTCTTCACCTGAATCGATATCTGGTTGACATTTGGAAATGTAATGTTGATGAACAAGAGGCTGCAGAGCAGGTCAGCAGCCCGACCATCAAAGATACAATCGAATCTGACACGGACGGTTGCCTGCTTAACAAAGCGCAGAACGCTTTCCTCGGCTGCCAGCTTAATGCTTGGTGTCTGGAGGCAAATTGCGCGAAGGTCCCATTTCAGGCCAAGGAATATACTTGCATGTTTGTAGAACTCCTTAGCGGCTACGTTCCTTCAGGTCTGGGGCACCTGTAGGAGGGACAGAAGTGATAGGCATTTCGCATACCCTAGACTGCTGACAATCATGTAGCGAGGAGGAGATTTGGCCAAGGTTTGCAGGAGACAAGATATGATCCGCGTAATAACTAACTCGGGCAGGCATTGTGCAGCTGCGAGTCTGTTCATGTTTAAGAAAGGGCTTGTGCGTAAGCTGAACCTGAAAAGTACAAATACCATGTCGCTTTCTGGCCGCAAAGATGCTGTCAATTGAAAATCCTTGCGGTTCAGTGGGCAGTGTTATGGCCAGCACTCGAACCAGTTGAGACATTACTACATTGTGGCTATGTGCCTGCTACAATCGTTCCAAGTATCTGGCATGCTCGCTGCCTGGTATGTGGCATCATTAGCCTCTATTATTACCATGCTTGCAACTTCCAATTCATAAATGAAGCAATACCGTATTAGTCCGCTCATCTTGTCCACTATTGCCCAGACGATGCGCTTACCGATACTCAGCAGTCATGGAATCCGAACCATGGCATGGACAGTGGTTCTGAAGCCCAGTGTGCCAAGCTCTGCAAGCCGCAATCGGTCGCATCTGCGCTCGCCGATCGTGATTGGATGTGCTGTTGGCCAGCTCCGTTGTGCCACTTTTTCTTGCGAGCCTGAAACACAGCCTCCTGATTTTTCTTCTCTAGCCATTTCTCTGTACTCTTTTTTACTCTACCAGCGCCCATTCGACAATCTCTGCTTGTCGTTCTCAATTATCTTCTTTCCTGCTCGCTTTAAGGTACTTGTCGCCCGGTGTTCTGTCCTTATTCTTTCAAGACAGTGCAATGTGTGGTCTTTGAGTCCAAGCAAGCCGCTATTCAGGCTTGTGAAGCCTGGGTATCTTTGTCCTGTCGCTTTATTTTGTCCCGCGCGCACGCGTTTTCACTCGTTTCGTGGCTGGTGGACGATGCGTTCTCCTGTCTGGAGATAGCCCCTTCCCTCTGCGTCGGTCGGAAGCAGCGGTGGTGGCCGTGCTTTGAGGCGGGGGCTGGCGGGCACACGTGCGGGCGTAACTGGCAGTACATCGCGAAGAATGAAAGCGTGGCGGTGTGGCTGCTCTTGAGAGCGCTAGCGCTTTTCTTTGCTCTGCTGGCCGCAGTTCGCCGGTTACGCACGCAAACTCCTGGCGCGGATCAGCTGCAGAGGGGCGCGATTGGAGCGAAGGGGATGCGGACGCCAGTGGAGGCTCTGAAGCGTAGTTGCAGCGAGAATGTGCCTAGTGGCGAGCTACTTGGTAGAGCCTACGCAGACCCTCGACTTGACCCTGTCCCCTGCTCTACGTAGCAGCACTGGGCGTTTTGGCTCGGCCCCTTTGGCTGGTTCTGCAGACTGGATCGCGGACTGGAGCTTGTCTCGCTTTCGCCTGCTGAGAAAACCAGGGCCAACAAGAGCATCCCCCGTTCATTGCCCCCCCCTCAGCCTGCTGCCGACTAGCCACCTCTGGCTCATTCGCGTGTTTACTCGGAGCCACCGTGCCCAACTGTCGTTCGCAAGTGCTTATTTCGAAAGGACCGCTCGTGTTTTGCAACCATTGTCTGATTTCTTCCTCTATCTCCAGCTCTCCCGCGTTGCTCATGCTAACACATGCTTCTAACCACTGACATCTTACTCCCTCACACTTCTCGCTGAATTACTTCTCCCATTCACACGCATACATCGGATTCTGCCTCGTGTGGAACATAGACCGTCTATCAACACGTCAGATCATGTCCGCCAACCTCGACAAGTCGCTCGATGAGATCATCTCGGAGGCCCCCGCCGCAACGGCGGTGGACGTCGCAGCAACAACAGCAGTGGTCACCAGTCGAACCGCAGCTCGCCCTACGCCCGCCGCGACGGCGGAGTCCAGAAGCGCGGACAGAAGCAGCAGCAGCAACAGACACTGGCGGCGCAGACAATGATGATGAACCAGGCTGCATTCCTCGCTGCCAACACCCAGCAACAGAGCCAGGGCGGCAAGATCCTGGTTGGCAACCTGGACTATGGCGTGACCGAGGCGGACCTGCGCGAGCTGTTCACCCAGGTTGGCCCAGTCAAGCGTGCCACGCTGAATTTTGGCCCTAATGGTCGGTCGAAGGGCAGCGGCGAGGTCATCTTCCGGTCGCCAGCGCACGCGGCCCTGGCAGTCGAGCGCTACCATGGCGTGACGCTCGACGGCCGCACCATGAAGATCGAGGTCGCCTACAACCCGATGGCCGTGCCGATGATGATGCCCACCATGATGCCCGGCGCTGTGATGCAGGGATCGCCGGCTGGCGGCAAGGCGCCGAGGAGCAGTGGCAGAGCCAATGGCGCCGGACGGCAGAAGCAGCAGAACGGTCCCGCAAACGGAGGCAAGGGTCGCCGTGGCGGCCACAAGGGCGGTCGTGGCGGCGACCGCGAGAAGCGCCCAGATGCCACCAAGGAGTCGCTTGACGCCGACCTCGACACCTACATGAAGGAGACCGAGAAGCCTGCTACCGCCAACTAAACACAAAAAACACAGACCAACACAACTTTCTCATTTTTCTCTCTCGCTATTTTATATTGACAACATGTTTCTTTTAACCCCCCCCCCCCGACATTCACTTGAATATGCTAAGTATGCGGTCATGTGTTAACACATACTGATGCTCAAGTTCAACATAATCATATTTGTGGCCGCTGTGTATATGACCATCAGTGCAGTTGCTGCGCACCAGAAGCAATGGTCCTCGATGCCATCATGGAGGGTAATGTATAGGGCCTCATTACAAGCGCCAGCGAGAGTCACTCCTCAGCGTCTTCAAGGAGTGTTAATGTGGTGCCAGGTGCCTTTCTTCTGTCAGCACTCATCATAGCCCACAAAATATACTTAAATAATACGGTGCGTGCCTAAAACGACCTTGGTCAAATGTCAGGGAAGAGGAAACTAGGTAGCGCGCTCTCCTAGTGATGATTATAAATGTGCTGATAAAACCAAAAGTAAGCGTTCACAAAAATATATTGGAAAAAACAGGAGGAATCCCTGCTGCTAGGAGCCAGCAAGGGGTGTTTAAGCAAGCGCCGAGTGCGCATACTGAGCCCTCATCTAAGCCGCGTACGGCCCTGGATAAAGCTGCGCCACTCTCAGTAAGTAATCCGCCCTGGGTGAGTCGGAACCACCCTAGCGGCACGACAGTTAGTGATATGGTGTGGTGTACCAGACAATCATCTACAACATTGGTATGTAAAGATGTTTTGTTCCTCTTTGCTTGCTACAGCAGCACCAATATAGAAGTCAAGTATATCATCAAGCTTGTGCAGCTGAATCTGACATTCTCTGTTTCTCTTTTCTTTCAACTACTCTACATTTCCAATATCCTAATACTAACAAAAATACTTTTACACATTACTCCAACCCTATTTTCACATCAACACTATGTAACAAGTATATTTGAGCATTGCCCACCAATCGACGACGACACCGGTGATAGCAACATGGCCATCCACGGTGATGCTAACGTGAATGCTGACAGAGCCCGCTGGCGCTAAACCCATGTAGGAACGCTTTAGGATACTGCAAAGCTGAGAGGATAGCACTGACTGCGCCAAGGTAACCGGCTCTCTGCACACGCACATTTTAGCTGGCAGTTTCAGAGTTTAGCATATCTGCATATTCATGGTCCGTGCAGATCAGACCAATGATATACGAAACAGGCTTGTGTATTCGTTCACTACCCGCTATTAAAATGGCATATAATTGCTACTTTCAAACGTTCCTGCATATAGGTTAAATAGATTCATGTGCTGCCCAGAGCTGGACGGTCATTGTGTCTACTCGTCACTACATCTATTTCTCCTCGCTTCATTTTTCTTTTCTTCTTCTTTGTATTTACTGGTAGTAATTCTGAATAGCGTCTTTATGTGTCAGATAGGCATGGTCTCTGGTAGGATTGCTCGAATATAGTTGGCACATTCGCAAATACATAAGAGTTTGAGGACAATATGTAAAGATATCTGTATTGTATAGTGCAGAATTTACTAGCCACAGGTTTACCAGTCCCCTGCAACTGCTCAAATACGTTTACTTTCAAGGCACTGTTCTGTAATGTGTATTTAAAAGTAGATGTATGCTATTTGAAAGAAGGAAGGAGTCCGAAGGCAAGCCGCATAGCGGCCGAAAGGGACCATGCGACCATTGTTAGTCGTGGGCACAAGAAATATGTTTCCTAAGGTCCCATGGATGACAGCACCAGAATCCACAATATAGGTGGGCACAGTGTCTAATCAAACTGCGAGAGTTCTGTATATGCCGCAGTACGGAGAGTGCAGCTATGCAGCTTGGGTTCCAAGGTTCCTGCAAACAGATATCTCGATTGTATCTACATGCCGCTTTCTGTGCCGCTGCTTCTCGTATTTTTAGATCACCAAGATTTCCAAGCATTTGTGCAGGTCTGCTGAACGGGCTACATGGTCCCCAGTCTATTTTCAGGAGCGGCGGCTGTCTTTGCAGGCGCTTTCTGTGAGCCCATGCATGACATTTTCGGCCGTGCATAGTCGCACAGAATGAGGATACCCTGAGGTGCAAAATCAAGATGATCGACACATGCTCAGCTTATTAATATCTCTCCTTCTCAGCGCCCGCTGGACCGCACCACGCCGCTAAAATTAGCAATCTCCTCGAAAAATCTTGGAAAGGACAGAAGCAGTATCGGAAGATATCCTTGGGGTTCACACAGCGTATATAAAGCCAGCCCACCATGGCTGCTTCATCCTGCTTCAACAACAACATCACCACCTCAAGCTTCACACAAGCAACCTCATTCAAGTATCACATTCATTTTCTGCACTTGCATCTTCAACGAAAGGCAACTCTGACAATGCGCATCTCTATTGCTACCATCTTCGCCGTTCTCGCTGCTACTGCCGCTGCCAACCAGGCTGGTCCTGCTGACAGCGACATCTCGACTCCTTTCAACGACCATGCTGCTGGTATCATCGAGCCTGCCGTCGAGACTACTGACGAGATTGACGACTTTGACGACTTTGAGGAGGATGGCAACCAGCGCGGCTTTGGAGGGTTTGGCAGGGGTCTTGGCAAGCTCGGTGGAGAGGTTGGTTCCGATATTTTCGGAGACCTCCTTGGCTCATTGCTGCAGGGTGGCTTCAACCAGCGCGGTGGTCGTGGTCGCGGCAGCGGTCGCGGTAAGGACTTCCTCAGCGATCTCGGTGTCGAGCTGATTGGCACTGGTGTTGGTGCTGGACTTGATGCTGCCATCTACAACCAGCGTGGTGGTCGTGGTCGCGGTAGCGGTCGCGGCAAGGACTTCCTCAGCGACCTGGGTGTCGAGCTGATTGGCACTGGTGTTGGTGCCGGTCTGGATGCTGCCATCTACAACCAACGTGGCGGTCGTGGTCGCGGTAGCGGTCGCGGCAAGGACTTCTTGAGCGACCTGGGTGTCGAGCTGATTGGCACTGGTGTCGGTGCCGGTCTGGATGCTGCTATTTACAACCAGCGTGGCGGTCGTGGTCGCGGTAGCGGTCGCGGCAAGGACTTCTTGAGCGACCTGGGTGTTGAACTGATTGGCACTGGTGTTGGTGCCGGTCTTGATGCCGCCATCTACAACTAGAGTGGCTGCTATTTTAAGGATAGTAGGGTATGGAGCTATGGAGACTGAGTCTGTCTGGCTAAAGATGACTAAACATTATCTTGTGCAAACCTCACAGAAAATTTGTAAAATACATTTGCCCGTTTGCCAACATATGATGCTACCCGAAAAGGTCGTACTGGTGTTAAGCGGGTCGCAGCACAGCCACCAGGCGGGTCTATAAATAAGGCCAAGTAGCCCACTCGTCTCTGGTCCCTGGCTCACGACCTCGGGACGTTTTCCACTCAATATATTCTCGTATACCACTATATTTCCTCACATTAGTTCTCGTCAGAACTTCTATCAAGTAGCTCACCAATACTGTGGTTTTTCATGTACAATGTGCCTGGGAAACAGCCCCTTGCAACAGCCCTAATACGTTTACTTTCTGAAGTACCTTTCCACGACGTATATTGGAGCATATGAAGTACAAAATATGAAGGAGGAAAGGGGGAATCCTTGGATAAAGGGGCGGACGCCCGCATGTGTATGGTGTCTGTCGCTCGAAATAGTAAAAGGAGCTATCGTAGCCTGGGGGTTCGACCCATGGGTTCCTGAGATCTTATGACTGGTCAACTTGGGAGCCACAATTCTGATACTCGATTATACCCCAAGCAGAGGCGTGCTCACGATAGCAGCTTTCGGTACCAGCCCACCTAGTCGACTGGCTAGTGACTCGCAGATAGTATATTAAAACTGGAGCAATCAGAAAATACGTATGCCGGCCTGACAATGTGGGTAAGTCATTCGAGTGCTGTGAAGCATCGAGCTTATGAGCAGTGTTCCGACCAAGGCATATAATGTGATGGGCTTTGAATACATATAAAAAAAGACCACCCGTACACATGTCACTGTCTCCCTTTCGTTTCTGTAGTTTTCACGTCTACTACTTTCTCACAAAATACAGCACTTATGATACTCCAAAACACGAAACGATGGCTCACAGAGGCATTTGGTACTAGGTCAGTGTTAGAATCTCAGGATCTGGCTACTGTGAACTATATAGCTTTTCCATCCTGCGAATTCCTTTTACTTATTTATCATTTACTTTTTGGCTGTGCCACTTGAGCGACGGTATAAAACCTTACGCTCATCTTCGCTTTTTCTTTTGTATTTTCATTCAGCTTTCTACACATCAATATAACTCTGGACTCTGCTGCTTTCTGTTATTTTTAAGCTCACGGCACTGGTACGCCTTTGGACCAATACATCGTGGTTCAAAGACTCTTTCGAAAATCACAATCCTTGAATATACATATCCATTTTAATGTGTTTTCGTCTCCCACCTCTTTCCTCTTATTTAGCTTTGCCGCTATCTATCGCCCTCTATCTTGTGCCTTGTGCTCTAGACCTTCAACATGAAATAGCAGAGATGCCTTTCTGTTGACAGTCTGATAGTAAATAGTGGAGCTTGCTAAATGCCCGCTTCGAGCTCAACACATGTAATTCATCCAACCCAGATACTTGCCAGTTTCCTTCTCTAGCCATTACGCTAGTCGCCCTGCCCCCAACAGGTGGCAGCTCGACCACAAGGCCTCTGATAGAGCCAGTTCGCAAGAAGGTGCATCAGATCCACTGGAGGTAGCATTATACTCTCGGGTAGGAGCGCGTTGTGGGTACAGACAGGTGGAGCAAATGCAGACTGACCTCTAGAAGTACAAGGCAGCGGAGAGCAACTAGCTTAGCCATTTTTATCACAGGTATTTGTGCTCACTTTCGCAGTTTTAGTAGAGCGTTCTATGCCTGGTTTCAACGTCTAGTTTTACACGAACTTAAGCCAGCCCTGGAATCGGGTACTCCTGTTAAACGGAGACAGATCTACTGTCCAGCCATCCCTGCTCCGCTTTGTTTCATTTAAGCCTCTCAAGTTGGCATTATCGTGTACTTCAAAGGTGGATCATTGCGTCAAACTCAAGCTGAGGTACTCAATTGCTTTGTATACTACACAAATAGCAAACATGACACAGATACGAGTGAGATGTTCGGTAGCTGCATTGCAGATGGATAAATGGCACTGACTACCAGTGTTTCACGTGTGAAATATCGTTGCAAGGCGACTACATATGGCAGCCCAACTGTACCAGAAGGCAGAGTGTTGCCAGCAGCATGCACATGGACCAAGGGGAAGCGATATTTGTATGAGGGCATCTGTGATGTCTGACAGGCTTTTGGCACTATTGTAGCCAGACTAGATAGGTGTGAAACATGTAACCGTGTGCAGCCACAGTTGAAGGTAGTGTGCTTGTTTATCCCTTGCACTTCTGTTGGTTACTGGCTGGTATGACAGCCATTGTTCGGTGATTACGGACAGATCGAACTGGCAATTTAGCTGATCCGAAATAGGGTGCCAATCCTGCATGCGCGCTGGGTACTTAGACCTGCCACAGCCCCTCTATTCTTCGCTTATCTCTTACCCTTAACCGGGTTCCCACTTTGCAGCTCATCTTAGAGTATACCAGAATTGCTCTGCTCGTGATGCGAGCTCGGCTGCTAGTCAGTATGGGTTGACACGTCGATGAGGGCATCACGGCGAACCAGACATTTGAATGTGTTGGATGGTTGTTGATGCAATGATGATCATGGACATCTCCCATCTTGATGGCCTGCTCACCGCAGGTGTTTCTGCACCGGTTCGCTGCTGCTGGCAGCAGAACTGCCTGCTGCAGCACGCCTCTTGCGTGGGCTCTTAGTTTCAGAGGTGGTGCCAAAAGCATTGGCAGCAATGGCCGTAGAGCGACGGAACCATTCAGGAATACTGCTTGAATCACAGAGTGACTGGAAAATGAGCCTGAAGTTTAGAACTGCTGCGAGATCCCGGTTCAAGAGCCGAGACAAATAGGCCCACCTGTATTGTGCCATGGCCTGCTTACATGACTCGCTTGTACAGCGGAGAAGGCCATGGCACTTCACAGCTGGGTTCTTCGATCTCTGGTAGGGCCGCGGGTTGGGAACATGCCGGAATGTCTGCTGCAGTGGCCTCCGTTTCATCTGATGGCATCTTCGCTGCTTCATGTGCAGCCTTCTTGGCCAATTTTCACCCTTTTCTGCTGCTTCCTTGCCTCTGTTGCTGCCCTCTTTGCTGCGTTGATCTTGGTAACCTGCTCGCGTGTTTTCGAAATAAACACCTGCTTGGTTATTTGCTTGTCTAAGCGCACATGGCCTGGGATCCATGATGTCCGCAGAGGCAAGCATTGGGGGGGGGGGAGACTTGCCAAGCTGCTCATTCTCGATAAGCTGGCATAGGCGAATGTATGCACGCAGATGCTTAAGTGGATTTACCTTGGCATCATAGTATCGGCTGTCTTTAGCGAATCTGTACTTGGCATCATAGGCATTAAGGACAGGTGCCAGCTTGTTGTAGATTGCAAGCATCGGTGGGGTGAGCACACTGAGATCAGGGCGCCTAGAGGCAACTGCCTGGCGGAGCTTCTGTGCAGGTGTATAAATACACACTTGACATGCGTCATTGAACTCAGCCTTGGACACATTGCCCATTGTACTGTGCACTGTGTTTTTGCGGCTGCGAGTATCAATCAATTTGGCCAGAATCCGCTGTAGGCAGGTGCCATAGTGCAACACAATGTTGTTCTTGTATACTGTCATCAGCTCGGTATCCACGTATGTTGCTACTTGATTCATTTCGCATACGCCATGTAGCTCGATATCGCTATTATGTAATAGATAATCATAAATATGATATCTAACTACATCACCGAAATATGCGCTCGACAGTTCTGACCTGTCCTTCTGGTTAACGAAATCCTCGGCAGATATGACAGTCTTCGCCTTCAGGTTGCGATAAATGAATAAATAAATAAAACGAAAAAAACCCTTTTTCACAAATGTTGCTGCGTCAAAGGCATCATCATAAGCTAGTTGATGGAGTAATATCCATCGTGCAAGCATGTATGTATGTTCTTTGATGATATTGACGCCGTGTACAAATTGCTCTAGGCGGGGCAACATAGAATCATGGAAGCCAATACCACCAAGTGATGTCTTTATGACAGTAGTGCTGCGGGTAATAGTCATTTGTGAAATTTAATAGGCAAGTAAGAAGAGAAATGATGCTGTTCAGTTTTGCTGTATTGCAGATGCATAGCATTAAGAACTTTTTATTAAAAATGATCTGGCTTGCATTGTTCTTGGGGCCCTTAGCACTGATACAGTCTCTTGAATCAGTCTATACAGGCTGGGTCCATTGTGGCCCAAATACTACCGCTTACGCATGTTCATAAGACAAATTAATTTGTAAAATAAACCCACAAATATCGTATGACTGCTAGAAGACCTACATGGCTTTTTTCAATGTGCTTATAAATAGATATCCGAGTGTTGCGCAGCCGGTGATGACCACCATGATGACGCCATAGAAGTTATCAGGCCGACCGACAATGAGAGCAGCTCTTGCGCTGAACCAATGGAGATATATAGTGGAGACTTATGACCACTACAATAACAGCTTGTCGCCCTGGTTTCACCGATGAGGTCAGATACCGCACAAGATCAAAAAGGAGTTTACGGAGCAAGCCACCCAAACCTGTGTTGAAGCTTAAAAGTTTCTAGCGGACGGTCGGACACTTTTTGGACTATAGAATCTTATATAAAAGTAAGATAAAGATTACAGCTGCAGCTCTGATGGTATAGCAAGACTATCATCCCTAGCCTCTTATCTTGTTAGCAAGCAAGTGCGATCTTGCACACCATTAATTCTCGAGCAAACGCATGTAGTATGAAGCTGTATAAGCTCGCATGGTCAAGAAGGGGGAATAGATGTCATGGAGACAGCCTCCTGCTAGGATTCTACAATCTGCCAGGATTGCTTGAGGCTGCCAGCCACGCCAGTGCCTCGACAGCCTGCTCCGAAGTATTGACGTGCCACGATGCGGCCGTCTTCTTCTCGGCTGGGCCAACAGTGATGGTGAAGTAGTATGGCGGTGTATCGATGAACGCCGAGGGCTCGTTATCATCATCATCCTTGGTGCCATTGGTAGCAGCAACATCCTGGCGGTCGCCGTCTGCATGCTTTGCAATATCGCGACGAGCATGGCGCAGGGCCCTGAACATATCTTCGT